ACCAGCAGGAAACAAGCTCTTTTGAGCTGCTTTCAGTAAAGAGATGAAACCCAATCCTGATCTTTGGTAGCCAAGGAACACTCTTCAGGTCCGTCATTAGACCAATTCTATCCATCAGGAGATACCATAGCAAGGCACACAATCCTGCAGAGAGAACTCAAACTTTAAAGGACTTTGGTCTGCACTCCTTTTTGATTGTTTTCAGAATCAGGAAGATTCTGAAAGAGAGATCTGCATCTTGCGGTGTCAGCATCATTTTGGCAAGAGGAGTATCTGGGTAATGTTTGGGTTTTGCTTGTTTCTACAGGTCAAAAAACTTTGATCTTGGTGGTGGTGTTTTTCCCTGCATACCTCCAATGGAAATTATAATCCTTGGTTTCAGTAGGACCATGTGATAAGAGAACTGTATGCTGTTTTTTCAGATACATTGGTGTCATTGCAACATATGTGTGTGCCTACAGTTATGTATATACAGTGATAGTTTCTTTCTGCAGAATTTTACAAATTAGAAATTGATTTCTAGAATGATGGCTATAACAAAAATAGTGAGACAGATTTTCATCTTTATTTACATGATATTATTGACTTAAAGTAAGTAGCACCCCCCACATCTTTTGAAATGGATTATTAAGATATTAAAAGGTCCAAAGATTATTGTGAATGCTAACTTTCCAAGCTGCACATTCCGTTAAATCCTCAGTACATCAAGTCTTGATGTGGAGGGAAGAAAGTTCTCATATTTTAGGGTTTTATTTTCTTTTTTACTGTTTCAAGCGCCAACCTCTGCCCATTCCCATGGATACCAAAGCTGTGTTTCAAGACATTTATAATTTGTAGCTACTGCTAACTGTTACATGTAAGAGTTTTTAACTCCAACGCTGCAAAAAACTATTAGACATAGCATGTACTGATTGGTAAAATACACCATGTTGAAGCACCGATGATTTAAAACATACATAATTCTTGCAAATACTATTATACATCAGCTGAATTATGTATGTTGATAAAACAAAAAATCATTACTAAAACACACGGAGAAATAAAATTTACCTACCTTTCTGATAGAAGAATTTTCGATAATAATATGCACCAAGGTCTACATGTTCAACGATGTACCTTTTCACTCTGTCTAGATGCAAAATCAGATTCTCCTTGGGAACTTCCAGAACTGCTACTCCAGCATTCGTGCAATGAGAACTCAGAGTCGACTCAAACGAGGCACTTTCACAACCACTGAAGGAACCTGAATTAGATTTGGAAAGGCTGATTTTCCTCTCCCCTTCCCCACCAATCTCATTACGAAAATAAGGACAACTCATCACAAGTTCATTGCTTTTATCATCCCCCTGGTCCATATTGAGACTTCCTTTCGAATTCAGGTCTTCAGTACTGCCCATTGGAGAATTGAAACTTGCAGAATGGGACAAGGGTCCAGAGACAAGTGATGCTACAGCAGCAGCAGATGCACCTGTGGTTGTGTTCCTTCTTTTAATAACATTATGCCTGTTGATCGCTGCTTCATTTAAATCAAATAAAATACTCTGTACATCATAATGAGCAAAACACTTCGGACAAGTCCAAGGCTTGACGCTATCTTCTGACCTATTATCTTCAAGATCTGATGACTTCCCAAGCTCCCCTTCACCTTTGGCATTGCGCAGCTTACGAAAAATGGATGAATCGCCTGTCTCCGATTTTGAGCGTCTCTTGAGCGGCTTCTCCCTTTCCTTAAAGAGTCTCAGATTTTCCCTTTGAGTAATAGGTCCATCTATCACATCTAGAGAGAATCCTGAACCCTTGCTTCCACTGGCAATCAGGAGGTCACTGAGCTTAGTTGTGGCTGGGCTTCTCTGATCAGACTTTTCATCTTTATAGCCCTTCAATAAGTCAAAAAAACTTTCCCCTGAAGTTCCCTGCTTATCTATGGAAGATGTGCTGCCATACTCCCTGTGCAGAGATGGTCCAGATTTAAAAGTGGGTGAAATACATTCATCAAAACTATCCACATCAAGCTCACTTATGGTAATGTCACTGTTGCTGCGCTGTCTTATTCTACGAAGAGCTTTCCTTGGGGAACTGGGATAGCCATCAGGTGTAAGAAATCTGGAGTCTAGATTCTCAGATTGTCTGGTCTTGCTTTTAAGTGTGCTCTGGATGCTCTTTAACATGACAGAATCACTAGCATTCAGGTTAACAGAGCTTCCCTGACTCCCAGGACTGCTTTTAGAAGACATGCTGTCAAGGCAACTTGATGTTTCAATATCTTGACTAGATCTGCTTGCTTCCTTGATATTCTCCTTCCTTGGGGGCCAATCAGCAATCCTTGCCCTGACCCCCATTTTAGGGACTCCAGGAGTAGAGGTAATGTGATGGGAACTTTCATTCCGAGGAGGTCCAACTGGCGCCATGACTGCAGATCCTAAGCTGCCATTCTGTGACCTAAAGCGCCTCATATAAAAGTCATCCGAGTGGACTTTTGAGGTGCCATCTGTTCCGACTGATACCCCAGTGGCAACAGCCCTTTCGGTCTGGGACCGCTTCAAGCTGGTCATGATCTTTCAGTATGCTCAACCTTAGTAAGTTCCGAGAGAAAACACACTCATTTCTGCTTTTTAAATGCCCAGTTCTCTTTTGGAGAATAGTCTCCAAAATGTGCAATGGTTGCATGAGATCTTAATCATGGACATTTAGGGACACAGTTAAATGCAGGATGTCTAGAAAATTCCAATATTCAGCAAGTTTTGGTAATCAATATTTTCCTTTAACTTTTGCATTTTAAGAAGCAGCCATGCTCCAATACATTCAAATTGTTTTAACATCACTTGTGCTCCAAAATATCAGAGTTGTAATCCAATCGCTTGTGCTTCTTTTAAGCCTAGAAGAGGAAAAGGGAGACAAAAGCATTAATGATTTCATATATATCTTTTGTTGTAACTGAAACTGTCAAAGTAATTACTACACACAATTACTATTTCTAACAAACATGCTTTTACATCTCATTGATCATCTCAAGAATGCAGAGTTGTGTTATATGGTCATGAAGAATTTTCTAGATGTTGTCGGTTTGCCTTCTGAAAAAATACTTTTACATCTGGATTCCACACCTAAATACATTTTTTCCTTATGAACTGAACACTGGTACTTTTTAGTTAGGCTAGTGGACAGTTTTACAAAACGCAACTAGGGAGCTAATTTCCTCAGCTGAAGGACACATACAGCTTACATTTCCTGCAAAAACTATAGAGAAGCCAGATCAGAACTCAAAATTTTGTTTATAAACGCTTTAAAGAATTTACCATTTACAAGTCACACATCCTTGGTTGCAATTAGTTATTAACAATGCCTGTTCAACTTTTCCATTAATGTAAATAACTATGACATGCTAACAAAAAAAAAAGGAAGGAAGCTAATTAGCAAAAAGATTACAAAATTATAATAGAGAGAATGGCTGTCAGTAACATTTATTCTGTGTTTTGCACAGTCTCATTTGCAGATTAGCTGGATAGTTCAGAAAACATGTATTCCCTCTGTCTAGATTTCACAACATATATAAACACATACTTTTAAATAACTTTATATGAAAAGTGCCATTTATTTCTCTGGCTAACAATATTGTCTGCCACAGCTCCTGTATGATCTAGCTTTACAAAGCCATGGAAATTAAATGCTTTCCCATACCTCATCAGTACCAAAGTAATTGCAATGCAGTTAGTATACCACCCTTTGAGAAGCTAAAAAAAAAAATAATCCACAAATACATCCTTGCTGGTAGAAGACAAAAGCATGAGACTGTCAAAGTAAAAGCTTGCATTGCAGTGTACATCCTTTAACACAAAGTAGTTAATTTTCAAAGGATGAACCAATTACACAAAACATGGCCTTTAAATATTTGCCAAATGTGTGCAGAGAGATGCTGCTGAGCCAGCACCGTGTTGACAATACAGTATTGTCTATGAATCAAGGCTTTCTGATGCTTCCAGGGAAACTAGTACAGTCTCTTCTCAAAACTAGAGTACTTTGCTCTACACTAATTAAATATCAAGCCAGGGCACCCTCTGCCTCCAAAGGCAGCGTGTTTTAACTTCACTCACCATAGACAGCACCTCTTTGAAATAGCTGCTATTTATATAAAGCTGAACACATAAGGAATACTTAAAATGCAAGCTGACTGCATCACACATTAACAAGAGCGGTGCAAGTGATCTAGGGTACTATTGTATTTGCACAGCTATTTACATAAGCACAGTTACTTTCCTTGCAATTCTACTACAATGACACTGCTGAAACAATAGTTTTTTTCTACCTATGTAATTAGAATAACTTTAGAAAAGCAGTCTATCCATGCAGCTGCTGCAAAACTACTTAATTTTCAGCTGTAACTTTTTACAAATTTCAAACACTCTCCAGTCTAAGAACTGGTTAAGCTAGTGAAACAACTTCATGCACAAATCAGATCAAGGAAGGAAAAATGCAAACACCGTGTGCCACCATATAACCTAACGTTCTATCTGTGGTTTTTAACAGTGCCATAGCAAACATCATTTATGCAATAAACTCTATGAAATGGGAACATTGCAGAGCCCTTTCTGAAGAGCTATATAGACTTGCTTTTATAAGAAGAATGGAAGGAAAATAGAATGAAAACTGGTAAGGATTTAGGGCAGGAAGAAGATAGGCTAAAAGGGATAGCGAAGGAACAGTCTAGCTGAGGGTGGAACACAAAACATGCAGAAGTACAAGTGACCACTACCACACACTCCTCTTCACAGCCTGCAATGAAACCCAAGATTTCTGTGCCCAACCACTGCTCTTCCACCATCAATATCTGTGCAAGCAAAGTATACATCTCCTCCTCCTCAAGTGCTGGTCCTTACAGAAACAGATAACCTACTAGTACATGTTTCTCATTAACTCAAGGGCAGAAGTTCACGCAGTAGCTCTAAAAAATTCTCAAGTCTGGTGTTAACCATATAAGCATCCAAATGTTACCAGGTGTCATGTCCCGTCATCGTACCCCATTCCCCCCCCACCCCCCCAATTTTATTTTCTTTTTAAAAATTTCAGGGACAACCATCCTTAATACAGATATATAGCCATATAATCATATATAAAAAATAAGTGCTCTGTTGAATTTATTTTTGACCTGCTGTATGTATGGTACAGTCATTAGTTACACGACCACACAGTACATTTTCCAAAGGAAATACTTTCTCTGTTCCTGACTCAGCATTAAGGATGTCTCACTCTGGGGACCAGCTGTTTCACGTTCTGCAGGTTTTTGCAACTGTCCTACTTCATATGCTGAAGCAGCTGCAATACAGGCAATAAACTATTAAGGCAATAGTTGACATCATACTCTGAAGAACCGAATTCTACTTTTGCCTGTATCTATTTCTATATTAAATAAATCACTTAAGTCAATTGTTTTGGAGACTGTAACTACCCGTCTGTTGTTGTTTCCCTCGCCTTTCCTATCCCCCTGTCTAATTTGAAACCTGGTCTAAAAAGGTTTGATTAGCTCCAACCAAAATAAAGTGAGAGCATTATATTTAATAATATTAAAAACTCCAAAAGTATAGATCCTGAGTACACTGGTCACTGGATTTAATGGAAAAGGAACAATAATAGCAATCTGCACTTTAACATTTTCTCATATTCATTACTTGCAAAACATAACAGCATGAAAGACAAGGTGAATCATGGTTGATTTAAATGACCATCAGTTACCAATAACCAGATGATATTATTAACTAGAAAACCTGCAGGAAGTTACATACAAAGTAGCAGAATTGCTAACACAAAATACGTAGCATATTAAAATTAGGTACAACTACAAAATAGGCAGTATGGTACTTACTTCTAAAGATGACAGCAGTAACTGTGAAGACCAACAATTCTTATTTTGTTACAATTTCAATATTAAAAAAAATATAATTCAAGGTAGAGCTATGAATATCAATATGAACAGACTATGGTGAGGACAAACTAGCTTAACTAAGGTAACGTATGCTTCTCCAATTCATCTGAACTTCAGGAAGCCAACAAAATATTCAGATGAACTCCTACATATAAGAAGCCATAAATGAAAACCACATGCAAAAATTTCCAAAAGAGGTACATTTAAATTCAGTACTGATTATCTCAATTAACAACCAGTTAAGAGATCAAGCTTGGAAAACCAACGATCTGCTTATCAGATTGAATGCAGTCGCTAGTAGAGCAAGCCAAGGATCTGTTCAAAATGGGCCTCAAATCCTTAGGACAAAGTTTATTTATTATTTTTTACCAGTACTGGAGTATTTTGCATCTGTAGCTCATTTTAAATTGAGGATGAACAAACCTGTTTTCATTCTTTCCCTTTCTATTTATACCTCTTTCATGAACTTTGCTCTCTCCTCCTAAAGTGGAGTTCCAGCCATTGGACAAAGGACCATTCTGTTAAAACTGAATGGTCCTTGTACATGAATCCCAAGACAGTGAAGTCAGGTAAGTCAAAAGATCTTGAATTATTATTCCTTAAGATTGAAGTTAGCCACCAGGAAAACGACGAAGACCTATCAGCCGAGATTTCGTCTAGAGGCCTTTGGATTACCAAGATGCAAATACAAGTAGTGATTAAGAAGTGTCTCGCTCAAATCAGCTCAGGATAGTAAAGAAACCCAACTACAGCACACTAAGCAGTCTCTATCTTGGATTCAGGTAGTCAAATAAGGTAACTCATCAAAATTCATAGACCTTCTATTACGGTTTTTCCTAGGCTTAGTTTATGTGAGATCATGCTGGTTTTCCTTACAATGTAGTGACTTTAGCCACAACCGAATCTTACTTGAAAGATTTAATAATTACTCTCATCTGCTGGGAACATGCTGAGACTTCAGACTGTAGGATCATGGATGCTAATGATCCTAATACTCGGATGTTGACAGAGATTGATTTGGGGGCACCAAATTATTTATGATGCACAATATTCCAGAGGAAAGACTTCATATTTCACCATCAGCCCTCATTAAAACATGTCATTTTATAATTACAAATTTGGGAATGAGGGAACCAGTTTTCAAATTCTAGAAAAGTCTCGCTTTTGCCAAGTCTCCATAACCCCTCTCTCTCAACCCCTCCAGTCAAAACAAGAAAATATAGTAGGTGGTCATAAATGCAACATATTACCAGGGATATTTTAAAATACTGAAAACTGTAGGATAAGGAGCAATTAATAGCATTTATAGCTGTAACAGCATTTCACAGCAAGGAGCTTTTAAAAATGTAAATGAAATCATCTCTATTCCACAGGGTTTACTGAAGTTTAGCCAACCAGGAAACTCTGCAACAAACACATGCTACTAACAGTAGGTTGTGTTAACTTTTACTACAAAAAACTGGCACTGTCATAAAACCTGAAAACTAGTAGCTCCTCTGAAACCTAAAAAATAAATGAGAACAATGAAAAATATTTTATATAGGAAAGCTTGATCTATTTGTGTCTTATATTCTTACCTGAATTAAACAGATCAAATCCTGGGGGAGGAACATTCATTTATCAGCCAATTAAGTTATTATACGTACAAAATAATGTCTAATTTCATAAAATGAATTCCTCAGAGGAGAAAAATTCAATTTAATCTTTAGAAATATTTGGCTTTATGCGGTTACCTATTATTAACTTTATCCTTTTCTTCCCAGGATTACTTTCATCATTGTAATTGAAGACTCATCTTTCAGAGGAAGTTTTTATGAACTGAAAGGCTATTTGAAGAATAGTGTTTGGTATTTACTAGCTTATCAGTTTTATTTTTGTTACACTTGGAGGAATTGTTGGTTTTGTGTTAACTGAATGTGACAATTGCCAGCCCCGCATAGGACGAATGATAA